ACACTACACACACACACACACACACACACACACACACACACACACACACACACACACACACACACACACACACACACACACACCGTCAATCTAACACTGTAGAATATAGCAGCCAAGACTTTTCACTAATCGACAGACATCGATTTCTAATGGCGACTGCGATGCTTCCGATACACAACAATACACAGCAATACACAGCAATACACAACAATACACAACAATACACAACAATACACAAAAATACACAACAATACACAACAATACACAACAATACACAACAATACACAACAATACACAAAAATACACAACAATACACAACAATACACAACAATACACAACAATACACAACAATACGATTACACGTACTCGGGAAAATTCGCGAGTTCGTTCAGGAGGGTGTCCGCGGTGATTGCACTGTTCAGTCAGTGGCAGTGGCTCGTGGATGTTTTACGGTATTGACGAATTACTCTACCGTTTGTGAAAATCACGTCTTAAACGATCACGTCTGCGCACGCGCGTGCGTACACGCGCGCGTGCGTTAATGCGTGCGCGTGTGCGTGCATGCGTGCATGTGGGGAGGGGCTGTATGGTATTATAGGCACTGATACGTGTACGCGCTGCATGCGCTTGCGTGTGGATCTAGATTATATAGATACTTTGTCGTATCAGACTAGTAAAGACGTTTAGCATACGTCGGATTTAAAATGAACTCGCACCGCTATATACCAATTCACTATAACGAATATCGAAGCGTACGCCACCCGGAGGGCAAAGCGTGAAAATAAATTGCGAAAAAAAGCGATGAAAGAGTAAAACATCACAGACAAGTATACGCTGCCAGTAAGCGCCCAGATTTGGGTGCTCGCTACAAAACTTTCCGTGTGCCTGGAGTCCGTGTGTGCAGCTCTTTGCACGCACGCACTGTCCTGCGGCTGGGGTGGGGCTTTCAATTAACTAGTATACCTAACCTCAATGCGAGGTAGCAACCGCGCTCTGTATAAGGGATTATACGGAATACATTCATGTCACGGTTGTCGCTCTGGAAATGTTAGTTAAGCAACACCAGAGGCGATATTTTAGAAACATGCAACCGCGGTTGGCAACCAGTGTTGTTACAGTTGCTAAAGCTGGTTGCAATGCCGCGTGGCTAGCTTATTCCAACCGGCTCCGCCGCGGCATGCGGCTGCTACCGTCGGTCGGGCCGGCCCGCGCAGGCACTGGCGGAATGTGGTTGGTGGGTATTACCGCGAGTTCATAAAACGCTGAGTTTTACTTCTCTGTGTGAAGCCCCTTGCACTGGAGCTATGAGGTCGTGACGGACGCGTGCGTACGCGTATGTGTGTGTGTATGTATGCGCCGTACTAGCCACGGCGGCGCGTCCAGCGGGAGAATGACCGCGATTCATGTGTATTAACGGTATGAGATTTAGGGCTTGGTACCCAATGCCGCCACTACGCTGCGTACGCATAAAGTTGTCAGCACCGTCGCTGACCAAAATGTCCGAAGTACTGTTCTGAATGTGTGTAGACAGCATGGTGACGTCACCATGAGGCTACACCAAGCATCACAACTCTTCCTCGTGCTATATACGGAAGAGGTTAGTCACTTACTGCATGCGTTATCGATAACACTTAACGGTATTCGCGAATTAGCGTGTACGAATATGCAAATGAGAATGTCAGGAGTGAATAAAAACAGCTTGTTGAATCCCGAGAATATGAATAGAGTATGCATAATATGACATGGTGATCGTGCGTTTAGCGGCTGGGTACGTGCTCGCTGGGCATGTATAGGCAGGTTTGTAAGTACGCACAGCTAAAGTTGTATGTAATTCGATTGGTTAATGCGGATTTAGTTCTGTAAACTGATTAAAGCTTTCAACCTGCAAATCGATTTGTTAGTGCAGTCAGACCCTTACGACGCCTTATTAATGAGCGATTACACACTATACATGTGACATTGAACGTATCATCTAGATATTCGAACTTATACATCTTTAAAGTTGCTTAACCTCGCATTTAAATGCATATATAGACCTACTGTAAGCTCCTCTATGTTGCAAAAATTCACTAGAACTGATTTGTATTGCTACATTCATAACATTTCTTCTCAAAATCTAAACGAAATTACTTCTCTTACTAAAGTTATAATTCATTATTATATGTTTATCCAGTACAAAATTGTGAAATTTGTTTAAATCATATCGTTATCTATATTACTTATGCAATCAGGAAACAAATATAGTGTTTTCGTTCCAGGAACTATTTGCGTAGGGCTACTGCTAGCTGTGCTGAGAGGGTTTATGTCCACCAGGGTACTGCCGGAACGTACCCTGGTACTATCTAATATGCCGTACCGTACCTCGCCTACTCCACTAACGAGTCTAGGGAGTCGCCTACGCCTTATCCCTAACCCTAACCCTAACCCTAATCCTAATCCTAACCCTAACCATATCAAATAATGACCAGGGTACGTTCCGGTATAGCGGACCGTACCCAGGGTACGTTCCGGCAGTACCCTGGGGGACATAGACCCTATGAGCGCTAGCTGTGTGACATAACAACATCAACGTAATTTTGAAAATCCCAATGTTTGTAGCACTTCTCTGGCTCAATGAGAACATTGAGTCTATATAAGCTTTTTGTTGCGAGGTTTATCCGTTTTAATCTTAAAGCCTTTATTTCTAATATAATTTCCAACCAGTCTCGCGTTTTCCCCACTTTTACTACACTTGCCGTTATTGCCTGAGTAACAGTAACTGTCTAGTCTAGAGTAACGATCAAAGGTCTTAGAATCTTCGTACTATTCTCCAAAACATGCACGATTTGAATTTTGATTACTCGTTTTGATTACCGCCACCATTTCTTGCTAATCTTGGACTATCTCGCGATAGTGCGAGATATCGGCCAATTTCAAAATAAAAACGGAGTAAATTACACAGAATCCGATGCCTCTTTGTTTGAATTAGGTGCAGAATGGGCGCACTTGTAACTTGTTGCTGCACTAAGGCGCCATTTGCAAATTAATTGTCGCTGTAGTCAAATATGCACCCCACTATTAATATTACCTATAGAAATTCCTGTTTTAGACATCGAAGCTAGTGATGTGTGTGTGCGCGTGCATGTGCGTGTGCGTATGCGCGTGTGCGTGCATGTGTGTGCGCGCGTACGTGCATGTGTGTGCGTGTACGCACTGCTTTATGAATGTAGCTTAACCAGTGATTATGTCATATTACAAGACATAGAAAACAGTGTTTCATCAGTAGATTAAGTTCTACCCTCCAGTATCTACAGAGCCCACCATATGGCGTCAAGAGGAAATGGAGCACCATGTGAATGCATGTGGATTGTTAGTCTTACAGTGTTACTCACATCCTAACAAATGTTATAGATTGCACAGATCTGTGTATATAAACAGCACAGATGTGTTTCTGTAAAGATCCACGTTATATGTAAACAATCGCCGCTTCACCCACAGACACATCCTCAAGAATTATTCACTGTTAGTGTAGCTGAGAGGGTCTATGTCCCCCGGGGTACTGCCGGAACGTACCCTGGTACTATCTAATATGCCGGACCGTTCCTCGCCTACTCCACTAACGAGTCTAGGGAGTCGCCTACGCCTACTCCCTAACCCTAACCCCAAACCCTGACGCCTAACTCTAACCTAACCTAACCCTAACCTAACCACTAGACCATACTCCCTAACCATATCAGCTAGATACTGTGACCAGGCGTACGTTCCGGATATACGGACCAGTACCCAGCGGTCTACGTTCCCGGCCAGTACCCTGGGGGACATAACCCTCATAGCAGCGTTAAGTGATAATATATATATATATATATACATATACTATATATTTATAGTATATATATAATATATATATATATAGACGAGAAGAGAGAGAGAGACGAGAGAGAGTAGATGAGATGAGCATGAGATGAGAGAGGAAGGGGAGAAGTAGAGATAGAGATAGAGATAGAAAGAGAGAGTAAAGGATAGAGAGAGAGAGAGAGAGAGAGAGAGAGAGAGAGAGAGAGAGCGCGCGAGAGAGAGAGAGAGAGAGCGCGCGAGAGAGAGATACCTTTCATCATTCTTTCTCTTTCCACCTGCTCTCATTATGGCATTATTAATTGTCTACGGTAGTTTTTGTATAGTAACCGCAGTAATAGTTCGCTATAATCAGGAGTAGATAATCCTATTATCTACTCCTGCTATAATACAACACTAGTGCTTGTATAACAATATTCGCATTAATCATACGCTTATAGCTAGGCGCGGCAGCAAGGATGTCCTGTGTGAGTACACAAGTACACGGGTTTGATTGTGAGGGGAACTACGCGGCGAGTGCTGTCTCTACGAGAAGAGGTGCAATATCACATGACAACACCGACTGGCACTGCTTATACCGTACATCTATACGCAGATCGAGTGCATACGTGCGATGTACACGCGCACACGAGAGCGCACGCAAACAGGAACTCACGCACACGACAGCGTACGCAAGCAGGCACCCACGCGCACACTGACACGCCCACACACGGGTGCGAGCGCGCGCGGAGGCACACACTCCCACACATCGGTTGGTCGTGCGTGGTAACCGTTTAAAATCGCGTGACATGACGTCACGTATGACAGCTGGAAATGGCGACTGCCCTAGCGGCAGGTAGTAGTGTTCACGATCGCTATTGAAGGATTGCGTGGCCCGTATAACTACTCTACGGTCTGCTACTAAATACGCAGCGGTAGCGACAAGAGAGGCTCCCCTTGGCAGTAGCTACTTGAAACGATATGCATATTATGGCGCCACCTATAGTAGAAAATCTATAACAAAAACAGCGTTTCAAAATTTTGATATCCGATTGGCAAGTGGGCTCTTCTGATATTCACCAAAACCTTTACTATGAAATATAATTAGTTCTCATACTGGTACATAAAATCAAGACAAACAGTGACAACCACCCAGTACAAACTAGAAATGTAATTAATAGCGAGTTCGGAACTGCTTCCAAAACGCGAAATACAATCCTAAACAGGCGTAAACTATATATTCTACTCCGTACACTAGCTCCATCTACACTTCCATTAGAGAACTCACATGTCTAGCCCTAAAACTCTTTGGCATACACGGAAATACATAATTATGAGTATTGCGGGCTATACATGCAAAGCGTTCTGTAAAGCCATGCATGCAGACCGTGAGGAATTTTTATCGCATGTACGCCCCGGACCACTACGGTGGACAGAGCTCAAGGAAACCCACATTTAAAGACCAGTAACGGTTCCTCGTTTTATAGCGCAGACTCGGGTAAACCGGGCGGTGTAGTCCAGTGATTACAGATGACCACGTCGCAACGTGCACGCGTGTCAGTACAATAAGACACGAAGCGGACAACTTGACTGGGGCATTGTCGCGCAACGCGTCAACAAGTTTTAGCGTGCATGATGATGATGATGATGATGATGATGATGATGATGATGATGATGATGATGATGTTGATGATGTTGATGATGATGATGATGTCCTCGCATACTAAATTCAGTAGTAATAAATGGTATCTAATCTGAATAACATATGACAACTTCCTGGCTTCATTTACAGAGGACCTATTTTTTCGTATACCTTCTCTCGCTTTGCTTTTCTCTTTCTCTCTCATGCATGCACGCACACACACGCGCGCGCACTCACGCACGCACGCATGCGCACACACGACGATAGCCTCGCTGTTGATATCGCATTTCCACAGACACTGCTGCAGTGTAATTTAGGTTTGTTCTGCGGTTGGGTAGTTGTGGCTCGTATGATGAGATGGTGTGTCTGTATGTGCTTACCGTACGAACCACAACGTCGCTGGCCCATTGCAAAGACCCCATATTAACTTCATAGGTGCTAGTCCTGCAAATGAACGCATATACACTGTTAACTGATAACGCTGAAGCTCTATATGGTTGTTGCGCTAATGGTTGTTATTACCTCCGCCAGGGGCTTGGCGGAGGTTATGTTTTCACCGGCGTGTGTTTGAGTGTTGGTTTGTCGGTTTGTTAACATTCACGTTTCAGTTCACTTCCGCTAGGTGCGCTGGCTGTAGACTTACAAACACGCAACCACAGGCTAAGGGGCAACCACAGTCCTCCCCCACCTGCACGCTCGCACTAATCCGGATCCAATTAATGATTTAATTAATTAATTAATAAATTAATTTTTCCACTTAATTAATTAATTAATAAAAAATTCCACATTGAGAGAATTCAGCTGCCTTGGCGGAGGTCTGTGCTCTCCGAGTGCTCTAGTATATAGTTGTTATTAGGTGTTTTCATAAGGAGATTCCTATAGAGTTGCATGCGATAATATATGTGCGCTCCCCTGTATGTTTCTCTGTTTCATGTTAATAACTTGTATCTAACAGAAGGTCACAGAAAAGATTCCTCGTCCGCTTTTGGCCATTAACAAGCTTCATCACGACATTCATCATTGTATTATTAAACCGATACATGTTAACGAGTCAATATTTACAAGTGAGCAAATGCGTCACAGCTCGGGATAGGACATAAGGCTTGTTGGGTTCTAACACGCAAATAGCGCCTGTGCAGTTCTCAAGGTCAATGTGAAAAGGACGAAAGTTTGGAGAGCGATTGTAAATCTTATCGTACTCGTAGTCTTAGTCTAATCACTGCTCTCCCCCTTATCTCTCTCTCTCTCTCTCTCTCTCTCTCTCTCTCTCTCTCTCTCTCTCTCTCTCTCTCTCTCTCTCTCTCTCTCTCTCTCTCTCATATCTCTCTCTCTCTCTCTCTCTCTCTCTCTCTTCTCTCTCTCTCTCTCTTCTCTCTCTCTCTCTCTCTCTCCTGTCTCTCTGTTCTCTCTCTCTCTCTCTCTCTCTCTCTCTCCTCTCTCTCCTCTCTCTGCTCTCTATCTCATCTATCTCTATCTCTATCTCTTTCTCCGCGCGCGCTCTCTCTCTCTCTCTCTCTCTCTCTCTCTCTCTCTCTCGCTCTCTCTTTCGCGCTCTCTGTGTGTGTCTCTCTCTCTTTCGCGCTCTCTGTGTGTGTCTTTCTCTCTTTCGCGCTCTCTGTGTGTGTCTTTCTCTCTGTGTCTGTCACTCCCCCTCTCTCTCTGTCTCGCTCTCTCTCTCTCTCTCTCTCTCTCTCTCTCTCTCTCTCTTTCGCGCTCTCTGTGTGTGTGTGTCTCTGTCTCTCTCTCTCACTCTCTCTCTCTCTCTGTCTCTCTCTCTCTCGCTCCCTCTCTCTCGCTCTCTTTCTCTGGGTCCATCTGTGTATTTTTGTCTCTCTGTGTGTCACTTTCGCTGCCTCGCGTCCTGTGCTTCTTGTAGAATTATGAATATATATGACTAAACACTCGTTCAGTGATCTGACTACATAACTACAAATATGCTTCGCTGCACAGCTACGATACGCTCACAGGTCTATAGCGTAAGAAATTAGTTAGAAGAATGTCCAAACATATACGCTGCATGTCTAAATGAAGACCCAACATCGAGGCGAGGGTATCCATCTGTATAGTATATCTTATATATATATATATATATATAAAGTTCTAGGCCTACATATTATATGATAGTCGAAATGTTTCTTAAAGTAGTCAGAGCGCGGACTTACTTACTCACTGCCTACTTGCACATTGCCTCGCATTTTCATATAGAATGTTAATACAAGCACTTTAAATATGAATATATTTATATCAAGTCATTATATCGTATATTATTATTATAGAACACATGTATACAAAGACATTTTACGAAATAAATACGATCTGAAGACGCTTTATTTAAACAGTTGTCAGTCTATCGCTCTTCTATACAACTTTTCCCTGCGTGCTGTGATTATCTACGGAAGGATAGAAGGAAGGGAGAAGTAGGGAGGGACGGCAGACAGACGGGCAGGATTTGAAGCAGAACCATTAAGAGTTGTCTCTCATGACGCCAGCAATCCAGTCCTCGTGCTCCGTCACACGTGAATATACCGCTGGTTCGTCACAGCTGCTGAGACCGAAAGAAGTCACTCCAATTAATGTCGCTGTTCCGTCGTTCTCAAAGAACGCCAACGGTCCGCCCGAGTCACCCTATAAAAACACAATTATGCAATACAGACACGACCTGTATAGGCCTATATATATATATATATATATATATATATATATATATAT